GAAGTTGCATAATATTACAGCCCATGCAAGGATCTTTCCCCAACTCCATAAAAAACAAATAGTCTCTCCAAGTTGTTCCGGATATTAAATTTTAATTAGAGAAAATAAGGCTATTTAATAATAGCTTGCGTTTGTTTTGTACTTAGTTTTCTCCCGTATACCTTAACGCATCATAGTGGGTGTCTTACTGCCCTGCAAGTTACATGGAGCAGGCATGAGCATCTGCACCTTTCAGCTGTGTTGCAGTGAGATAAAGTGGCTTCCTGGAGACCACGGCCCTGATTACTGAAGGAGTTAGATCAGAATCTAGACCCTCTGATTCCCACCTGAAAAGCTTCTTCTTAAACCTCCAGGCTGATCCCTCCAGCAGGTAGCCAGTGCGGTCACTAGCACAGCTTCCTACGCTGCTCAGAAAGGTAGGGGCCAGGGATACCAAGATTATGGAATATGTTCAGTGGTTAATTGACTTAGTAGGTTATAACTAGCATTTTTTTTTCAGTCTTCATAGAGACTGTCAAAAATTGCCAATGTGGACTATATTTCAAGTCATCACGGTGGGGCACGGGGAAAAGTTTTCAATTAGCAATAACTAGTCCTTGGATAAACCTCACTGGCTGTGATACTGCCACTGTGCAAAGTTATGACTAGCAGTATTTAATGAAATAAAAAATGTAGAAAATAGCAGGGGGCAGTAAACTAAATCACTATTGCAAAGGGATATCCGTACTCTCATGTTATTGCAGCATTATTCACAATAGCCAAGGTACGGAAACAACTTAAGTGTTCATCAACAGACAAATGGATATACACACACACACACTATATAACATATACATAAATATGGAATAACATATACATAATAACGTGGAATATTATTCAGCCTTTAGAAAGAAGGAAATCCCACCACTGGGAACAACATGGATGAATCTATGGAGGGCACTGTGCTAAAAAAATAAGCTACACAGAGAAAAACAAATACTGCATGATATCACTTCTATGTGGAATTAAAAAAAAATTAAACTAGAGTGGTGATTGCCAAGGGTTGGAGGGTGGGAGAAGTAGGGAGAGGCTGGTAAAAGAGTACAAATTTCCAGTTATAAGATTTAAGGATCTAATGTATAACATGGTGACTATAGTTGATAATACAGTATTGTATAACTGAAATATGCTAGGAGAGTAGAACTTAGGTGTTCTCCCCAAAAAAGAAAGAAAGTGAAAAAAAAAGGTAAATATGAGAGGTGGGAATCCTTTCACAATGTACAGATAAATCAAATCATCACGTACATTTTAAATATATGACAATGTTATTTGTCAATTATACCTTAATAAAGCTGAAAAAAAATCTGTAGTACAACTTGAAAAAAAGAAAGTATCAGAGAGCATTGTACATAACAAAAGTGAGCCTTGTTTTGCAAAATATTTGTTGCAAATACATATTCGTGTGTGTGTGTGTGTGTGTGTGTGTACACATAATACTGAGTCACAGAATAAACTTAAGTTTATTATACTTAAGTTTACACTGAAGTATAAGTTAAAAGAAACCTGTATTTTTTTCCAAGGATCAAAGGGAAACACTGATGTAGCAAACGCCGATATCACGTATCTGGAGCGCTCTGATGGCAGCCACAGCCCTAAATGAACCTGGGGATGTACAAATGTTGGGTGGTGGGTGTGGGGGGAGGGCTGAAAGAAAATTCCTGCAGTGGGTGGGAGTTAAAGACCAGATAATCTTGAAGCTGGAGCCTGTGCTTTGTACTTTTTTATATTCTTAGTGCCTAGTCCGGCAGCACTAACTGGCACAGGAAGCCCTCAATGAATATTTGTTGAATGAATGCATGGAAATGAGTGAGGTTTACAGATTTTTAAAGGCTCCTCTTAAAAATTCAATTAGGCTTGGAAATGAATTCAGGCAGTCCTAACATTTATGAAAAGCTTGTTTCCAAAACCTTAATTTGCAAATTGGTTATTGGAACTTCAAACATTATTATACACGACAGTCGGGATCTCAGGCCAGCCCACAGCCACCTTTTAAAACCCAGGATCTATCTGAAGCTAGTATCGAGAACTGAAGCTGCATTTCTATGGGGAAAAAGACATCCTGGCTGGTCCCCTTAGAAATGTCAGGGGCAAATTAGCCTCCAGATGGCAGAGGAGCACCTCCCCAGCCCCTATTTCTCTTACCACAGCCAGACCTGCTTCTGCAAAGCCATTTTTAGTGGACTGGGAGGGATGGGAGAAGCCGCATGAAGTGAGGGCGCATGTCAAGGGTTGGAATAAGTCAGAGGTAAGGAGAGGGAAAGAGGAGTAAGCAATGCAAATAGCATCAGCCAGGAGGGAAAGAAAGGCCTGTGGCCACCAGGCACTGGACAATGTGCTTGTGGCCAGGTGGCCAGGGAGACAACCTGCAGAAAGTTGGGACCACCTCCAGAAAGATTTGGTATAGTCACCATTGAAGGAGCAATCCAGCAATATCACCAGCATAGAGTGCCCCATCCACGCAAAGCACAATTACCTGTTTCTCTGCCATTCTTTCTTATTTTTTATCCATTAACAGCAAGTAGTAATTTCATCCTTATAATTTCACCTTTCACCAGATAAAAGGTCCAGTAAAGTCCATCATTTAAAGCCAATCTTTGAACCCAAGAGTGAGCCAAAATGGCCAGTGTGGTATACAAACCAACAGGCACAAAATGCACATGCCCTTTACTTTGTAACAGAGAGGGCTCCTCAATGCTCCTCTACCCAGATGGTTGACTTTTCCCTTGAACATAATTCTAACAAATGGGGATTCCTGATAGCCTTGGCTACAGCAGATTAGAGAGTGGAAAAGCTAGAGTTGCATGTGTTAAGAGCGATTAGGAGAGAGAAAATAAATAAATAAGACGGAGGACAACATACAATAATTGGACCATTTTTGGATGGGAGTTGTATCCACTGAAATACCACTGTTTCACAGCATGATTTAAAAATCTATATTCATAATGACAATTCTCAGCAATTGGGAAGTGTTTCAAATGTACTATAATATCTGCTTTGAAGAAAGGAAAGACATAATTTTCATCAATTTTTTTTAAATTTAGCATGCTGGAAATTGTAATGCTATGTTCCCCCAATAAGAATGAATAAACCAGATATTCCTAAACTTTTTACAACCTGAACATTTTATGTGCATTTCTTCTGCATCTTATACAATTATGCCAATCATTTATTTCCCTGAATGTTTTAAACTTAGTTTCCTCAGAAAACAGTGGGATGACCTAAATAATTTCCTACGTTTCTTTGATTCCATGGTTTAAAAATTTATATAGCCTTCCACATTTATTACAAAATGTGACAAAACAACTAAACTTTTTCATCCTTAAGATAATTCTTTATGAGAAATGTAACTCTTAATGGAACCCAAGGTCTCCATGGAACACTTCAGAAACCCCCGATCTTGCTTAATGCCTCCACTTCAGATGAGGAGACCGAGGCACACAGGGTGTTCCCCACGTAGGAAACAGAGTGAGCCAAGGAACGGAGGTGGCTTGTATATGATGTGTTTGGGGAATAGCTAGAGATCTGCTCTGGTCGCAGCAGGGGGAGCTCAGAATGGGAAGGGATAGTAAAGGCAGACTGTGGAGAACTTTGAATGCCATGTCAAGGAGAGTGCGCTGTATCTTCAAAGGTGGGGGATGGGAGGGAAGGAGGGGACAGGATCAGAAAGGGGAGAGAGACAGAAGCCAGGACCCGATAGGAGGCAACTGCAGTCATCCAGGTGGGAGGCAATAACTGTTGAAATTCAGGAAATGACAGAATGAGTGGAGAAGGGTGAGAGTCACAGAGAAAGTAAACTGACAGAACCATGAGCATGATGGAGTAGGAAAAACTCAGAACCAGGAATTCACACACACACACACACACACACACACACACACAGCAGACTGGGCCCCTTGCCCTGCATTCCAGGCTCTGTTGTTGACCAGCTGCGAACACTGGGCAAACCCTTCACCCCATGTGCCACAGGTTCCTCATCTGAAATGAAGGCATTAAACAAGATCGGGGTTTCGAAGTTTCATGGAGACCTAGGATTTCAAAGAAGTTTTGGCGGAGTGGGTAGGGTGCGGTGGGGTAGAGAGGCGTGGGGTGGGGTACCGGGGAGTGCAGGAGGGATGAGAAGCTCGAGATCTAAAACCACCTATTTAGTGAGAACATCCCCTTTATGTAACAGAATTCCTTGTAACGGTAAATTCGCTAAAAAAACAAACACAAACCCCAACCAGTTTGATAACCACTGGACCGTACAGACAACCTCTAATACCCCTTTATGCTCTCACACGCGAACGATCACAGAAACTGGTTATCCAACTAAAAAACAGCGTGGTTCTCGTTTTTAGGACCCCGTTGAGTTCCTGTTTATTTGATGGACTGTTGCACAAACGCTGGAACAACTGGAACAACTGTCATGTTGAATTGATGCCAAAACTCTCAAAAATGGGACAGATTTACTGAAAGGCCATCTGGTGTCTTACTCTCGTGCAGTACCTTTTCCCAACACCCAGTGTTGTTTTCCAAACCTCATAAACGCCAACATGAAAAGGGCCCTTGCCTGCGAGTCCAGAGACACTGGCTTCCCTGCTCCCGACTGTGGTTTGGCTTTGGGTAAGTTGAGTTGCCCCTCTGGGTTCCGTTTCCCTGTCTACGGCAGGAGGGCACTGCAGCAAACAACCCTGGGGGCCCCTCCAGCTTTAACATTCCAGGATGCCAGGAGCCTCAGCTTCGAAGCCTAGTATCTGGGCAGTTCTCTGATCAATAGCATGTGCGCTCGGTCTTGCTCTGTCACAGTTAGATGGTCAGCGTATTAAGGGCTTTGGGTTGTTGACCGTAGGGATTGGGCAATGTGTGCTTTAGCCAAAGTCTCTGAGCCCTGCGGAGGGATCACTCCCAGCAGAGGGCTCAGGTCTAAATTAACAGCAGATCTTTAGAAACACGATGCTGGATCAGTATTTAGAATAATAAAGCCCTGTGCCTAGGTATAAACCCTCCCACAAATGGTCTACAATCCACCATAAAAATGGAAACGAGTAAAACCAATTAGAACCAGCACCAAGTTGAGGCCAAAAGTTTCATACAGGTCTGAAACTTACACGCTCACTACTCTCCTTTGCTTCCTGATTTCTCCTCTCTCCTCCCACTCCCACAATTAAAAAAAATTTTTTTTTTAATTTTAAAATTTACAAGAAGAAGAAAAGCCGAAGAGGTGAAGCGAACACTCACTGGGAGAGCGCGGCGAGGCTGCGTCTTCCCTGCGTTCCGGATCCCCCGAGCATGTCTGCAGCTGGAAGGGGCGGCGGGCGGGGCGCAGAGGTGCTGAGACCCTCGGGGCGGTCAGGGTGCGGACTCGGCCCGCGGAGGAGCCATGTTATCTGTGGCTGAAATGCAGTGTGCGGGATGCTCCCGGGTTCTCCCTTTGTGTTAACACTTTGGTCTGTCCCTGTGACGAAAGTCTGGGCTTGTCCTCTGCCAAATCTACTCCTCCCCACCCTTCCCCTCCGCATAGGATCATCAGAGAGCTGATTGTTATTTTTTACTGTAATCTCTCTAATAGAGGCCCATCCTGTTTAGGTTTAGATTGTAAAGGGCACAGATTGCTTTGAGATT